TCGCCCAATGCTAGCGGCAATGACTCACCCCACAGTGCTCAATTTGTGTAGGGATTTCTCAGCATAGTTGATCCGATCAAATAAAACGTGGAATTGACACCGAATTGGGTAACAGAGCGCAGTATATATGTTGAGTTAGAAAAATACAAAGACTACCCTTTCGTCCCTACACTCCTGTTTCATGATTGCTCACTCATCACCCTGGTGAATGAACAATCACGAAACAGGCTCGTCCTTGTATTTTTTCTAACTCAACATATATACAGAGGATGTAACACGGCCGGGCGGGTATTCGAATTTTATCTCCCTGTGTTGTAAGTATAGAAGATAAGATTCGTATCCCCAAGCGGCCATGTAATGCTCTGTTTATTTTATAGATACTGATGAGATTTCCACATAAAACACAATGAAATTTCAAAACAACCGGCCGCGCGCCGGAGCGGCAAGCTCTCTTGTAATTGGCTAACCGTGGTAGTAACCATGGCGACACCAATATCCTCACACGCGAGAGATAAAAATAGTATCTTCACTGTGCGCGATTAAGACATGATTTTTTTAATAGGAGGAAAAATCCTGGTATTTTAACAATATCTATACAATAAATATATGTATTCAAACGCAACTTTTTAAGTGTTGTAACCAATAAATAGTAAGGTCGATTCTTGGTGCCGGTCAATTAGACGAGGTCTAACCCAAACCGTGGTTTTTATGCAAATAGTGGGCCCTGCGTATTCTCTATAAGAAGGTTGTTGTCATTTGATAAAAGTCCTTCCACTGCTAGCTTTTGGTCCTCTTCACACTGTTCACAAAAGTAAACGTTCATAGAAAAGATTCAGCTAAATTCAAGAAAGTTTATAACGCGGTTTTGTTAAACAACGGCTAATCTTTGTTTAAATAATCGGCCCCTAGGTTCTTGTTCATCCTCAATGTACATATTTATTTCGCATAATCGTTGCAGTGAACGGCTTTCAACTTGAAGAGCGTCTGACTCCAAGAGGCGTCATGACTTAACTTGTCAATCAGGAGGAACTCAGGCGTGATTCATCGTTTATTACCCAAGAGGTTCTGTGTCTGATGAAAGTGGTCAATCTTTGCCAGGGCGAATCAGAGCTGTAACGATGAAACAATGAACTGCTCCTAACCTGAACTGATTAACAAGGATCTGTACATTCAATATATCACTTACTTATATCATAAAAGAATAAAAATTCTGTTTTTGCCGCAAATAGAAACGAAAAGCAGTATCATTGTCTGCAGTGATTCAGACAACAACTCAACTGACAAGTTGTTCAATCAGTTGATTCCGGGAAAAAAGTTATGCGTATTTCACTTTCGTCAAATGCTTAAACAACAATTCGNTTTGCTCTCTCTCTTTCGCTTAAAGAACGTTGTCGTTCTGTTACCTCCAGATTATAAAAGCAAAATTGTTAAGCTTTACGTAGAGGTGCAAATTATACCGTTAAACAATAATCTTGTACTGGCAAATAAATATTTTGTGTTGCTGACTCGCGCTATTTTAAGAGGTTTTGATTTCATTTTTTCGAGACAAGGCAAAGACTCTGGGCCGAGGTTTGTACAACGCATGCTCAAATGTGTGCGTTACCGCCAAATTCGAAAAGAATAATAAATTCCGCGTATTTTGATGTATAATTCATAAGGGTGCGGTAAAGTTTCGGCCTGGCAAATGGGCCTTGAAATCAACGCTTTGGTTCTATTTCTGCTGCTAACCTTTATAAACAGCGCGAGTGCGATAGAACAGGAATTCGATGGAGCGGAATCCGGAGATGTCCCTTCATTTACGTACGAAATAAACAAGTAAGTATAGATTCAAGTTTCGTGTATTTCTTCGAAGATTCATTGTGTTAAAGATCCTTTTCTATCTTGTTTGGTAGCTACCTCATCTATACAGTCTGTAAAGAATTAGAGGGGAAAATCGACGACTTAAGTACTGAGTCTGCTTGGTCGGCGAGAATAAGAAGAATTTTTGAAGAGTCTGCGCTGAAAGGTTTAATCTTAAACAATCGTATCGTAAATGTCTTCAAGAAGAAAATTTCGCTTCTTCTCTCGGCGTTGAGGAAAGCTGGTCAAAAAGGTGGTCGCCATGTTAAGAAGCTTAAAGAAAAGTGGCAGAAAGAGACGTACTCATTCAAGATATTCTATAATGAAATTGAAGCGTGTCAGCTACAAGAGGAGAACAGAGGTTTGCGCGGACAAAAGAGAAAGCTGGAAGCATCCCTTGCAGATGAACAGGCGAAAAGGCTAAAGGTAGAAGAGAAACTCGAACAAGTGCTTAACAAAGCAGAAAAGGACGAAAAAAAATACGAAAAAAAATTTAAGATTCTAGCGCGTAAAATTGCGAAACTGCAGAGAGACGGAAAGAGAGGGCCGGCCAAAAAGAAAAAATTTACCGATTATACGAAACAGCATCAGTCACGTCTTCGACAACAGATGAAGGAAAACTGTCAGGCAACATTATCCTTCCTTGGATTGTACGATTTTATTGCCACAAAAGTAGAAGTTTTCAATGGCGAAACTCAACAGTACGAGACATTTTCCTTAATTGATGAAAACGAGCTGCCACTAAAGGACAAGGACTCAACGGAGCTGACAGATGAAAATTTGGATGAAATTAATATGTGGATCTACATTAAAGATAAATTTAACATTTCTAATGAGGCTTGGCATGAGCTGGCTATGAAAACCAAACAGATGCCAAACAGCTATAAGCTGGAGAAGAAATTGAAAGAACTTAATGCAAAATGGAATCTTCAACCTACACCTGGCCAAGCCGAGGGAGTCCAGTTAAGTTTTAAAGAAAGTTTAGAGGAACAAGTAATCAGGCTTCAGGGGAAAGGAGTTTTGAACATTAACACTAAAATCAAAGTTAAAATTAGTGGGGATGGGACCAACATTGGGAAAAGGCTCAAAATTGTTAATTTAACTTACACAATATTAAATGAAAGAGATATTGCAATGAGTGAAAAAGGCAACTATATTCTTGCCATAATCAAAACTACTGAAAGCTATGATAATTTAAAGGCAACCCTTGCAGATCTTAATGATGAAATGCAGAATCTAAAGCAAATATGTGTGGGTGATTATAAATGTGACATTGAATACTTTTTGGGAGGGGACTGGAAGTTCTTAGCTTGTGTGTGTGGTTTGGGTGCAGCAAATCAGGACTATGCCTGTATTTGGTGCAAATGTCCTAGGAATGAAAGGTTTGACTGCAGCAAGAAGTGGTCCCTCACAGACAGGTCCCTTGGTGCAAGATCATGTGAAGAAATAACTGCCAATGCAAAATCTAAAAAGTTCAATTGTAAATCAGTGCCTTTATTTTCTTTTATTCCCATTGATCATGTCATAATTGACACACTTCACTTATTTTTGAGGATTTCTGACAACTTGATTGAGCTTCTCATACAGCAACTTCGCAGGGAAGATGCAATAGATAAAGTGAAAACTTTCCCTAGTGGGTTTACAAGGGAGAAATATAAACATATGGCTGGATATGAAAAGTTTCTGAAGGACATTGGAATTTCCTTTGACTGGAGAGTAAATAAAGACTCTAAAAAATTAGAATATAGAGACCTTACCGGACCAGAAAAGTTGCTTGTTATGCAAAGCATAAATTTCCAATCACTCCTTCCCAACTTTAAGGAAACTAAAGAAATGGAAAAACTATGGGCCAGTTTTATGGAAATTATTGGAGACCTGAAGCTTGAGTTTACAACTGATGATGCTATTACTCAGTTAACAAATAAGATCAACTCATGGTTTGATAAGTTTCTATGTTTGTATCAAGCCAAAGATGTTACCCCTTACATGCATGCACTATATGCTCATGTGCCTGAATTCTTAAGACTCTATGAAAATATATCCTATTTTACACAACAAGGAATGGAAAAATATAATGATATATCATCCAAACATTATTTTAGATCCTCAAATCATAGGGGAATTTCTGCTTTAAAACAGATTCTTTTGAAGAAAAATAGAATACAGCTCCTAGAAGCAGCAGGCATGGAAAGAATAAAGAAAAGTTATAAGTGTGGAAATTGTGAAGGTCTTGGTCACACCATAAAGACATGCTCAGCTAACTGTAAAGAATGCCAGACTGCAGTTTGTTGTGCACATCTTATCAAAGTTGATGGAAGATGGACACAGAGATGTACTTTGTAAATTCCTTTCTAGTGACTGTAACTTTGAGGGCTAGGCTTCCTAGTTGACATGTTAAAAATTTATCTTATAACAGCCTTGATTACAGTAAATATAAATAAATGTAATATCCATGTGTAGTTAAGATATTCAAAAACTCTTTTAGAATTTAGTATGAACAAATATTTTCATTCCCTCAATCTCAATAATTAACTGACAATGATTATAAACTGATAATAAAATATATCAAAACAATAACTGTAGTTGTGTGATTGCATTTAACTCAGTCTTTAATTTAGCAGTCATCCCTTGTTAGGTACTGGTGTCTATTTCCATCTCCACAAACAAAAGTAAAAACAAGTTGACGGTCATCTTCAATTTCTGACCTCACATACTTGCCCCCTATGAGCTTGTATTCTATTATAGGGTTCCTTTCTGTAATCCAAAATCTCACTGCCCCTTCTGTCACAAAAGCATAATCACTATTTTCGTTTAAAATCCGTTCATCCCATTTGACTCCCAAAAAGCTGTCTAGGTCGTGATTACAAATCCGATAGACTTGCTTGTTTCTTTCCCTTTTTGCACGAGCAGCAGTGGCAATACTCACTTCAAAGACCTCCTCCACAGAAATTTCAATCCTGATTTCTGGATCGTCCTTCCTTCCAGAGTATAGCTTTCGCTTCACTTCCCGATACAAGCGGTCTTGGAAGAGATGCAAACGATCGTCTATGGATTCCATGGATGGTTTACATTTATGTTCCAACCGCATAATAGGAAATTTATCACCATCATATGGCCTCCATTCGTCAAACTTATCACTAAATCCGTTACAATGTATTTTTACTCGCTTGCCTTCTTTGTCGACCTCTTTCGACTCGATTTCGTAAAGGCGATTGTCCTTTTGACGCTTTGGTATTCTGCCCTCGTCAGCTACAGCTTTTAACGGGTTTACTTCGTTGATTAATCGCTTCGGCGCTTTGATTTCTCTTTTTACTCTGGCCGCCATGTTTGTTTTTATCGTTTGCGCATAAAACTTTTGGTCATTCGCGCATGCGAAATATGTCCGCGAGAGTCTGGATGCAAGTCAAAGCAAATGTTAACCCTTCTATGAAATGACTTTGATATGACGACAGTCCAGCGCTCTATCCATTGAGCTAACCGGGAGGCGGTCAATTATACATACTTAATTATGCATACTTCAACCTTGAATTGAATCATGGTCCACGGGACTCTCCCTTTTCACAAAACTGCTGCCATTTTTCCACAGCGGCGGTAAGGTTGCAGCTTGGAACGGTTTATTGAGATTCTTCGTCCCGTAACATACCTGTGGAGTCTTACTTGGTACTTTGTCAGTTCTAGTGACTTTCTTTGAAACATTTCCACGTTGGATTGAGTTGGCACGATCGCAAAATAGTCAAACGTTGCTTCCATTTCAGCGACAGAGGTGTGGTCACGGTATCAGATATTTAAACACAAGGTAAATACTTTTATTTCGAGTTTCTCAGTTAATATTTTCGGCTTCTTCAAATATTTTTAATCTGTCCTAATTTTCCCTGATTTTCGGCAATAAAAGACCCTCAAACCGCCGAGTATTGCTAACTTTTACTTTATTCTCGCGTACTGTGTATTGCCGCTTCCAGTTAGTTATAACATGTTTTTAGCTAAAGAATATGAAGTTACATGTTGCAGCTGTCGAATTCACAAAGTATCCAAAAAAAAAAAAATACTTGGYATTTACCCTCGGACGAAATCAATAATTCGGGAGAGTTAAAAGGAATATCCAAATGATCGATTAAATTTACGTAGTCCTAGCGCTGATGATCGAAAAACTTTCAGTTTCGTTTTCGTGTCATGTTGCTAGAGTATGCAGTTCGTGTTTTGCACTAGCTTTCATGTTCAGATTATGTATTAACTTAACTGAAATGCTCCTCTATTAACGATGCATCTAATCAAAAAAAGATGAACATTTCAGGCGTATTCCTTGTGTTTATTGTTTGTTAGTTTAACAGTTATTTTGTACTTTTGATAGACTGTTAGATTCTCCTTCCCTACAGTGCATGTTAATTGATTCCCCTGTTTAACATTGGAACAAGTTGGTGTCAATTAGGGTTTTATTCCAAGCATCCTTTCAGCTCTATTAAATTTTCAGAAATCCAATTCAACAATTGTTAATGGTTGATTGGTATCAGTAAAGTTTTACCGTTTGCTATCAGCTAATAAAATATGATCAGCATCAAGAATCACAACAACTGAATATCTCCAGTCAAGTTATTCTATTAAAACTGGATTAGTTTTACATTTGGCTGCATGTATCTTAGACTGTGTCCGGTGATAATCATATTATTACATGGCAAGTAGTCTCGAGATAAATTCAAAGGTTCTGATTGGTTCTTATACTTGGTGAGGATTTGCTATATGGACCATTTTCTTTAAAAAGGTCATACACAATGTATTTTTTCTTGAAAGCCGGAAAACTCAAAGTAAACTAGTTTAGTCCAAGGGACATTTTAAAGTACTTGCTCTTACTTTGCTTTCTCAAGCCATTATACCGGGAAATTATTGGCATCCAGTCATTTCTGTACTGCCACAACCTTGGGCCAATATTCTCCAGTACGACCCTAATTGTGCTTGATCTGTCAGTAAGAAGTTAGGACTGGCTTTTACATAAATACTTTGCATGTTTCACAGGTTATTTTGAATTCCATAGCAATTTCCTTGTTGCTCTGCATTGATTGAAATTTTTTGTAAATATAAATCCTCTATTGAAGACAGCTAGCAAGGATTCAGCTAGGATATCTGAGAATAACAGATCTTGATGATTAAGAGAATTAAAGACTTGTACATTAGTTTCAAAGACAAATCAATTATATGCACAAAACAATGGAAACATATAATGATTGCGAGAAAAAAAAAACAATCAGCTATAAATTATGTGCATACCACCTGTCAAGTATTAAAATCCATTTCAACATACATCAGCGCATTGGCATCAGTTCAAGTGGAAATAAAGCAAAAGATATACCCATTGCATTGTCAACAAGTTTTGACCAAGATCCCAATTTGATAAATTAAAAATCCAGTAAGAGAATTTTACTTTGGTTTTGTAAAATTTCTTTTTCATGAACATGAAAGCCCTACGGGCTCGTCAAAATACGGCACAACTCGTAGAGATACTCAGCAATACTACACAACAAAACGTCTTATAAGATTTATGTATTTTACGTGTTGTGCCGTATTTTGACGGCCCAGTAAGGCGAGTCAAAATACAAACAACGAGTAAAAATGCTTAGCGATACTACACAACAAAACGTCTAATAAGAGATTGATTATCCATCACGCCAGATTTTTATTTCAGTGCGGGCGAATTTCGCGGATAATCATTTACAGGGAGTGCGTGATAGAATTTTCCGCCACTTTTTTTCCAACTTCAATCCAATTCGTCGCTTGCGCGATGCGAAAAAACCTGTCTAACCGGTTCTCTGGAGTACAAACACCGCGTGATATTTGTACCCGTTGTGGGCGTTATTTGTACTCTTCGAAGCACAGTTGGATAACAAATGAACATCTTTGAATGTATGAATATGTTTTAATATATACTCTTCATATGGAGGATCGAGGTTAGCCGCAGAGGCGCCAAACCAATTATGCACGTATGGCTCTAGGTGGAAATTATCTGTTCCGAAATGTGAAGCTGAAGGAAAGCTTTGGTTTTTTTTTCTTGTTAAATTTAAAGTAAAATAAATGTCTGTCCCAAATAGCTGTTGATCATTAACAGTTTTCTTGTAGAATAGTAAACAGTTTTCACTTTTATCATTTAGGAGGTCAGGAAATGAATCACCCCGTCATTGTCTACATTGTCGTTTTTGCCTTACCCTGGACCAAGAGCCAGTTTCCGAAAGTCTGCACCACCCTAGACAGTCTAAGAAGTAAGGAGTGTTGTCCAATCCCGAAAGGCTTCAGCCAACCATGCGGGAAAGATGGAGACAGGGGAAAATGCCAGGAATTGGACATTCGTAAGTGGACAATAAAGTACAGCCATTACCAAACTTTTCATAAAGATGATGACCGCCACGAATGGCCACAGGCTCTTTACAATAGAACCTGCAAATGTAACGAGCGCTTTGGAGGTTATGACTGCAGTAGATGCGAATTTGGTTTCAATGGCAGTAACTGCAACCTGAAGAAACCCCTGAAACGCAAAAATTTTTTGAAGCTGTCAGACGACGAGAAAGATCGATACATGAAATACGTCAACATGTCCAAGCACTCTGTAAGTGAGTACGTGGTTACGACGTCTCCATACAAAGAGATCATTAAAACTGTTTTGGCCGATCGGGATCCAAAGGACCTCTTCTTTGATATCAGTGTCTATGACTACTTCATTTGGTTGCACGATTACGCTGCGAGGAAAACAATTTTCCCGCTTAATGTCACCAGAGAAGGTGTTGAATTAGCACATGAAGGGCAGGGATTTCTCACTTGGCATCGACTTTTCTTGTTAGTAGTGGAAAGAACCTTGCAGGAAGTTTCAAACGATGAAGAATTTGCCCTGCCATACTGGGACTGGACTGAAAATGTCACACACTGTGATGTTTGCAATGAAGAGCTTCTTGGCGTTACGGATCAAGTTGATGGCATCGTAAAAGGTAAATACCTAGACGACTGGTACGTCATTTGCACTCCAGAACTAACTAATAACGAGACAGAGTTGTGTGACCCCACGAAAAGGAAAAAATCATTGAAACGGAGTTTCAATGATTTTTCGATGGAATTTCCATCGAAAAGCGAAGTCAGATTTGCGCTCCGGTTCGCAGACTATAGTCTCCCACCCCATAGCAAACATTCCAGCTGCAATTTCGTAAACATCCTGGAAGGCTTTGCTAGCGCGAAAACTGGGTATCGACTGCCTAACGTCCACGGCTTGCACAACCAGGTTCATTTGGTCGTCGGAGGACACATGGCGAACGTACGATCGGCGACAAACGACCCGATCTTTCTCCTTCACCACTCGTTTGTGGATCGTATCCTGGAGAAATGGCTCAGGAGGTTCAATAAAGATGCAAATGTTCTTTCTCCTTACGATGCACCCATTGGTCACAACAAAGATGACGTCATTGTACCGCTGTTTCCAGTTTACACCCACCAACAGATGTTCAAGAATTCTTCCGAGTTTGGTTATGACTACGACGACGTTGATGAAAATGGTATGTGCCAAGTTTTAGCTTTTAGTTATAAAACTTCACTTTCTCGTGACTGAGTAATCATCGAAGCAAATCTCCCTGCTTTCCCAACCCTTTTAGGGTACCCTCAGATGCAAGTTAAATGCAAAAGTAAGATCCCATGTCCCTTCTTGATCACACAAAACCACCCTTACGCACCAACATGGCCGTAAGTTTTGTTACAAATAATCTGAGGTTATAATCATCATAAATGAGCTATTTTCTTTTTCCTGGTCACTATCATGATAAATTCTAATAAAGGGGGACGGGAAGTTTCGAAGAAACTGTGGAGCTGCGTCAGTGGAGGAGTGAACAAGATAATCTGGTCTTATCAACTGAGTTGATAATTTAAAGTAGCTAACGCTTCTTCAGAGGGACATCGACGAACGATTTTCATTCAACTTAATTATTCTTGTTTTTCTCGTCACCATGTTTCCACCAATAGCGTGGCTTCACTTTCTGCATATAAAACACACAACACCTACAATTCCTTTATTCGCTCTGACGAAGGGCTAACCCTCGGAAAGTCAGCTGTAGAGAATTTTTACGGTGGCCAAGTTACATTATCAGCTCAGTTGATAAAACCAAATTTACTATAAAAATTTGGTTTTATCAACTGAGCAACAGCAACAACAACAATGTGTCTTTGATTAGGAAAGTCTCCTGATGATGAGAAAGAAGTAAAACCAATTTCTCTTGGAGATTGTCCAGTTCCTTGCCCCGGCAAGGAATCTGCAGCAAGTGAATCTGCAGCGCCTGGAATGCGGCTGTGTTGGTGGCTGATGTCATCCGTGCTGATGTGGCAGTTATTGTTGGCTGATTGAGGTGACAAAGAGGAACTGAGAAAAAAAGAAAATACTCTCAGGGTGGGGAACAGCACAAAATAGTGTTATAAGCTAGATTAGAGTAAGGCATCGCGGAACAAAGTGTAGAAATGATTAGAAAAAAGCAGCTCATTCAATTGAGTTAGGAGCACGTTAGTAGGAATATAAATTAAAAGCATTAAACTGTGTATGGAGTAAAAGAAGGCATATATTATACTAAACAAAAAGCGAGGAAGGATTAAAAAAAATAATAATAATAATAATCGACTTTATTTAAAGAGGGTAGACACATAACAGCTTGCGCTGACAAACCAGTGGCTCTCAAAACTAAAGTTAGTAACAACAACAAACATATGAAACATATGAGTGAACTGCGGTTATGAGACGTATATAAGAACGATCCTTCGCAGTAAAGCACTATTTGAGCAATAGTGGAAATCAGACCTGAAAAAAATTTCAGGCCTGTACGGGATTCGAACCACTGACCTCTGCGATACTAGTGCAGCGCTCTACCAATTGAGCTAACAAGCCAACTGGGAGCAGGCCATCAAATTAATTCGATATAAACCCGTAGATGATAAATCGAACAACAACAAACATATGAAACATATGAGTGAACTGCGGTTATGAGACGTATATAAGAACGATCCTTCGCAGTAAAGCACTATTTGAGCAATAGTGGAAATCAGACCTGAAAAAAATTTCAGGCCTGTACGGGATTCGAACCACTGACCTCTGCGATACTAGTGCAGCGCTCTACCAATTGAGCTAACAAGCCAACTGGGAGCAGGCCATCAAATTAATTCGATATAAACCCGTAGATGATAAATCGAACAACAACAAACATATGAAACATATGAGTGAACTGCGGTTATGAGACGTATATAAGAACGATCCTTCGCAGTAAAGCACTATTTGAGCAATAGTGGAAATCAGACCTGAAAAAAATTTCAGGCCTGTACGGGATTCGAACCACTGACCTCTGCGATACTAGTGCAGCGCTCTACCAATTGAGCTAACAAGCCAACTGGGAGCAGGCCATCAAATTAATTCGATATAAACCCGTAGATGATAAATCGAACAACAACAAACATATGAAACATATGAGTGAACTGCGGTTATGAGACGTATATAAGAACGATCCTTCGCAGTAAAGCACTATTTGAGCAATAGTGGAAATCAGACCTGAAAAAAATTTCAGGCCTGTACGGGATTCGAACCACTGACCTCTGCGATACTAGTGCAGCGCTCTACCAATTGAGCTAACAAGCCAACTGGGAGCAGGCCATCAAATTAATTCGATATAAACCCGTAGATGATAAATCGAACAACAACAAACATATGAAACATATGAGTGAACTGCGGTTATGAGACGTATATAAGAACGATCCTTCGCAGTAAAGCACTATTTGAGCAATAGTGGAAATCAGACCTGAAAAAAATTTCAGGCCTGTACGGGATTCGAACCACTGACCTCTGCGATACTAGTGCAGCGCTCTACCAATTGAGCTAACAAGCCAACTGGGAGCAGGCCATCAAATTAATTCGATATAAACCCGTAGATGATAAATCGAACAACAACAAACATATGAAACATATGAGTGAACTGCGGTTATGAGACGTATATAAGAACGATCCTTCGCAGTAAAGCACTATTTGAGCAATAGTGGAAATCAGACCTGAAAAAAATTTCAGGCCTGTACGGGATTCGAACCACTGACCTCTGCGATACTAGTGCAGCGCTCTACCAATTGAGCTAACAAGCCAACTGGGAGCAGGCCATCAAATTAATTCGATATAAACCCGTAGATGATAAATCGAACAACAACAAACATATGAAACATATGAGTGAACTGCGGTTATGAGACGTATATAAGAACGATCCTTCGCAGTAAAGCACTATTTGAGCAATAGTGGAAATCAGACCTGAAAAAAATTTCAGGCCTGTACGGGATTCGAACCACTGACCTCTGCGATACTAGTGCAGCGCTCTACCAATTGAGCTAACAAGCCAACTGGGAGCAGGCCATCAAATTAATTCGATATAAACCCGTAGATGATAAATCGAACAACAACAAACATATGAAACATATGAGTGAACTGCGGTTATGAGACGTATATAAGAACGATCCTTCGCAGTAAAGCACTATTTGAGCAATAGTGGAAATCAGACCTGAAAAAAATTTCAGGCCTGTACGGGATTCGAACCACTGACCTCTGCGATACTAGTGCAGCGCTCTACCAATTGAGCTAACAAGCCAACTGGGAGCAGGCCATCAAATTAATTCGATATAAACCCGTAGATGATAAATCGAACAACAACAAACATATGAAACATATGAGTGAACTGCGGTTATGAGACGTATATAAGAACGATCCTTCGCAGTAAAGCACTATTTGAGCAATAGTGGAAAAGTAAGTAATACATTCTAAGCCATAGAGATTAAAATAGAACTAACTATTTGAACAATGTAACTATTCAAAGATTATAAATACAATAAACTAGATTATAATACAGCTTCAAAAGAATCAATGTCTCTATAAGAATTTATAAAATAATTCTTCAAATCATTCCTAAGAGAGGAGATGCTACGTTGTTTCCTAAGCTCATTTGGAAGACTATTCCATAACTTAATACTACTAACTTGGAAGGACCTTCCTGCCTCAGTAGTATTTCGATACTTGGGACAGATTAGGTTATACTGGCCATGCCTGGTCTCTCTACCATGCAGGGAGTGATTTGTAGTTAAAGTACTTTCAATATACGT